AAGAAAGTATTCCCCGAATAAACGCACTTCTTTACAATTTCTCTGAAAAAGAAGTTTCCCACGAAACAATACGAAAAGTATTACGGAATAACGGATACAACGTGTAGCTAGAAGAAAACCTCATGTAATTAAAGTTAATAGAAAAAAAAAGACTAGAATTTGCTAAAAAATATTTCAAAGTCTCCGGAATTTTGGCATAATGTTATATTTTGCAATGAAAGCAAATTTAATATTTGGGGCTCCGACGGCTATCAAAAAGTTTGGAGAAAAGCAAACGCGGAGTTTAATCCCAAGAACCTGTGTAGTACAGTTAAACACGGAGGCAGTCATGTAATGATTTGGGGGTGCATCAGTTATCAAGGTGGAGATAAACTATATGTATACACATTATTACAGGAACGATGGACAAGATAATGTATTTAGACATTTTGAAAAAGAATTTGAAGCAAAGTGCTCAAGAGATGGGAATCCCAGACAATTTCCACTTTTACCAGGACAACGATTCTAAGCATACATCCAGATTAACAAGAAATGGTTGTTGTATGATTGTCCAAAAATAATGAAAACTCCACCTCAATCCCCCGACCTGAATCCAATAGAGATGGTGTGGGATATGTTAGATATTAAAATACGCAAACATTTTATTACAAACATTTTATTACAAAATTTACATTTTATTACAAAATTGAGTTGCAAAATAGATTACAAGAGGAATGGCAAAAAATAGACAGCGATTATTTAAAAAGAATAGTAGAATCGATGCCAAAAAGACTTGTCGTTATAAAACAAAAAGGATATCCCACTAAATATTAATTTTATTAAAATAATAATTTCTACAAAATGAGCGAATAATTTTGTGACATGAAAACGATTAAAAAATTGTTATAACATGTTTTTCTGTAATTATAAACCACAATGTTTCAAATTTTTTTTATGTTTCTGTTATATTGAACTGTAAAATATGCATTTCCAAATAAAAAAATTTTTAAAGTCCTTTGTTGTCTCATTATTTCATTCATCTTTGTTGCATTTTCGATTAAGCGAATAATTTTGTGACTCATTGTAAATTCGCGCTACCGGCATTCCCGCGACGCTCGCCCGATTCATCTGCTGTTCGCGCGACGACAAACGTGATGGTTTTACACAATAAAATGCTCGATTCGCCAACTACGCTGGCTATTCTTCGGCTGTTCGACGGTCCTCGGATCCACGTCCGTCTTGTTAGAGCGCACCACGAAAAGTGATTACCCGTACCCTCGCGGGGTACACGCAGACGATCGCCATCTCCTTCTCGCAGTTTCACTATTGGCCGAAAATCGGCTAATCGCGTGGCCTCAATTGGCCGCGCGCCGTGAAGCCCTCGCGGGAAACTTGAATGCGGCGGTATCGGTAGCCACGTCCCTTTGCGTTTCAGCTTCTTAGGCCTTGAGATTTTCGCACTTTTCTGGCCAAATCGGTCCTCCTAAAGGCTTTCATCTTTCCTGAGCTTCGTTAGGACGTTCCATCTCCGAGATCCCCACGTTTTGTAGGGGTGGCGCCGTCTCCGTCATCGCGCCGTTCGTCTCTCGATCGGCAGTGGCGATTTTCAAGCTGTAATCGAGATCTATCTTACAAGTGGCATTTCCATCCTCGCTAATATGGGTGCGAGAGGGGTAATACAACTTGCGTGTTACGATTGCTTTCACATCGTTCCTTCTTCAGCTGTTCCTCCTGCATCCGCGCCTCCTTTACGCTGATCCTCGCCCGTCGGTAAGCGCAAAATACATGTAAGGAGCAGCCGTCACTCCGCTCCCTGAAAATAATAACGGTCGTCGCACCGCGACCGCGACAACGGGTCCGCTGGCCAAATCACAATCGTCCGCGCTCCTCCCCCATCGGAGGACGCGGATCCGAGTCAACTCCTCCGCGATCGCGCCTATGCTCCTTGTAACCGGCAGCTAAAAAGCGCTACATCACAGTCTATATTTTAATATATTTAAAACTTATTAAAATCGTAAATGGAAACTTGGTTGTTTGTCCTTGTAAGTTACATTTTTTATAACATGATTATGAGGAATTTGGCACTTATAATACCAAATTATCTACTATCTATATTGTAAATTTTGTATAAATATTTATACATTATGAAAGAAGTAATATACATAATTTATAACAATAATTATAACTTATAAACAAATACAACAATATACAAAATTATAATTTTAAATAATCTGAAACTATGTATACAATTAAATAATTACCATAATAAGAGTAATGATTTGGAATGATGTTTTATTATATGACATTAATTAATTATTATCATATATGCAATGAGATTCTGTGTATCATATATCATCTATCCATATTTTCCTGTATTAATAATGTTAAAAATGTTGATAATAATTATAAAATATTTCAATTTATAATATTTGTAATATTATTTTAGTCTCGATTATTATCTAGTATATTTTACTTATAAATTAAATGATTTACTCGAAAATGTTTATTTTCTTGAATATGAATAAAAAATCATTGTGCCATATATACACTACTAAAAAATAAGAGGATTATTTTTAATGTTTGTTCATTTTTAAATTGTAACTAATCAACGAATAATTAATGTTAAAAAGAAAAATAAAAAATGAATTACAAAAAACAAAACCTGTACTGATAAGATACATTTGATCAATTTTTATTCAAATGTAAGTACTTAAAGATGTGATTGGTCTTGACATGTTTCGGTCTTCTATAATTTTTTCCTTTAAAAATTTATATTCATTTACGTTATTTATGTTCAAGTTGTATATAGCTGTTATGACATAACAAAATTTACATATATGGTTATTGGTACCATCTTAGAATATACTATGTTTTTTCAAGTAAAAAAAAATCTTGTCTGAACGAGCAGCACTTTCTTGTGCTGCATATCGGCAAATGCTGGTAATATCATTAGAAAAACAAGAGTTTAAATTACAATATGTCAAGAAATAATCTGCATAAGACAAATTTTTTTCACATTAAAGAGCAAATTGTACTTTGAGATCATATTAATGACTATATTTGTCTATTTTTTTATAACAAAAATATGGAAAAATATAAGTTTCAAATTTGTAGATGTCTTTAATATATTCTTATTCAAAATCAATTATATCTCTGAGTAATCGATAATCAATTAAATAAAAATTGATTAAATCTCAGGTAGCAAACGTTATTTGTTGTCATTTTGAAATTTGAAATTTAATATCATCATAATGATGTCAAATAATGTCAGTTTGCTATTTGAAATGTATCTAATAAAGAAATGTTGTCTTATAAAACTCATTTTTATTTTCTTTGTTTAATTATTTGCTGAATAATTATATAAAAGTGTTGAAAAAATGAGAAAAAATAATCTTCTTAATTTTTTTTAAATTCTATGTATTCCCATTCTTTCTCTTTCTCTCTCTGTCTCTCTCTCTC